CCTCCTCCCCCAATCCCTCCCAGTATCAGGGTCTTTTCCAACGAGTCAATTCTTCGCATGAGGTGGCCAAAGTATTGGAGTTTCAGCTTCAGCATCAGTCCTTCCAATGAACACCCAGGACTGATCTCCTTTAGGATGGACTGGTTGGATCTCCTTGCAGTCCAAGGGACTCTCAAGAGTCTTCTCCAACACCACAGTTCAAAAGCATCAATTTTTCAGCACTCAGCTTTCTTCACAGTCCAACTCTCACATCCATACATGACCACTGGAAAAACCATAGCCTTGAGTAGACGAACCTTTGTTGACAAAGTAGTGTCTCTGCTTTTTAATATGCTGTCTAGGTTGGTCATAACTTTCCTTCCAAGGAGTAAGCGTCTTTTAATTTCATGGCTGCAGTCACCATCTGCAGTGATTTTGGAGCCCAAAAAAATAAAATCTGACACTGTTTTGACTGTCTCCCCATCTATTTCCCATGAGGTGATGGGACCAGATGCCATGATCTTAGTTTTGGAAAAGAAGTAAAACTCTCACTGTTTGCAGATGACATGATCCTTTACATAGAAAACCCTAAAGACACTACCAGAAAGTTACTAGAGCTAATCAATGAATATAGTAGAGTTGCAGGATATAAAATTAATACACAGAAATCCCTTGCACTCCTATACACTCACGAACAATGAGAAAACAGAAAGAGAAATTAAGGAAACAATCCCATTCATCATTGTGATGAAAAGAATAAAATACCCTGGAATAAATCTATCTACAAAAACAAAGGACCTATATATAAAAAATATAAAACATTGATGAAAGAAATCAAAGATGACACAAATAGATAGAGAAATATACCATGTTCATGGATTGGAAGAATCAATGTAGTGAAAACGAGTATACTACCCAAAGCAATCTATAGATTCAATGCAATCACTATCAAGCTACCAACGGTATTTTACACAGAACTAGAATAAATAATTTCACAACTTGTATGGAAATACAAAAAACCTCAAATAGCAAAAGCAATCTTGAGAAAGAAGAATGGAACTGGAGGAATCAATCTGCCTGACTTCAGACCATACTACACAGCTACAGTCATCAAGACAGTATGATACTGGCACAAAGACAGAAATATAGATCAATGGAACAAAATAGAGAGCCCAGAGATAAAGCCACATATCTATGGGCACCTTATCTTTGACAAAGGAGGCAAAAATATACAATGGAGAAAAGACAATCTCTTTAACAAGTGGTGCTGGGAAAACTGGCCAACCACCTGTAAAAGAATGAAACTAGAACGCTTTCTAACACCATACACAAAAATAAACTCAAAATGGATAAAAGATCTAAATGTAAGACCAGAAATGATAAAACTCCTAGAGAGAAACATAGACAAAACACTCTGACATAAATCACAGCAGGATCCTCTATGACCCACCTCCCTGTGTAATGGAAATAAAAGCAAAAATAAACAAATGGGACCTAATTAAACTTAAAAGTTTTTGCACAATGAAGGAAACTATAAGTAAGGTGAAAAGACAGCCTTCAGAGTGGGGGAAAATAATAGCAAAAGAAAAAACTGTCAAAGAATTAATCTCAAAAATATGCAAAGAGCTCATGCAGCCCAATACCAGAAAAATAAACAACCTAATCAAAAAGTGGGCCAAAGAACTAAACAGACATTTATCCAAAGAAAACATACAGATGGTTAACAAACACATGAAAAGATGCTCAACATCACTCATTATCAGAGAAATGCAAATCAAAACCACAATGACGTACCATCTCACACTGGTCAGAATGGCTGCTATCAAAAAATCTACAAACAATAGATGTTGGAAAAGGTGTGGAGAAAAGGGAACCCATTTACACTGTTGGTGGGAGGCGAACCAGTACAGCCACGATGGAGAACAATGTGGAGATTCCTTAAATAACTGAAAATAGAATGGCCATACAAACCAGCAATCCCACTGCTGGGCATACACACTGAGGAAACCAGAATTGAAAGAGACATGTGTACCCCAACGTTCATTGCAGCACTGTTTACAATAGCTAGGATATGGAAGCAACCTAAATGTCTGTCAGCAGATGAATAGGTAAGAAAGCTGTGATACATATACACAATGGAATATTACTCAGCCATTAAAAAGAATGCATTTGAATCCGTTCTAATGAAGTGGATGAAACTGGAGCCTATTATACACAGTGGAGTAAGTCAGAAAGAAAAACACCAATATAGTATATTATTGCATATATATGGAATTTAGAAAGATGGTAACAACAACCCTATATGTGAGACAGCAAAAGAGACACAAATATAAAGAACAGACTTTTGGACTCTGAGAGAAGGTAAGGATGGGATGATTTGAGAGAAGAGCATTGAAACATGTATATTACCATATGTGAAATAGATCGCCAGTGCAAGTTCGATCCTCAAAACAGGGGACTCAAAGTCGGTGCACTGGGACAACCCAGAGGGATGGGATAGGGAGGGAGGTGGGAGAGATGTTCAGGATGGGGGACACATGTACACCCATGGCTGATTCATGTCAATGTATGGCAAAAACCACCACAGTATTGTAAAGTTATTAGTCTCCAATTAAAATAAATAAATTAATTTTTAAAAAATTTTAAAAAAGAACACAACTTATCAAAATATTTTGAATGCAGTGAAAGCAGTGCTCAGGGGAAACAATACATACATTAGAAAATAAAAAAAGATCTAAAAATCAGTAATGTAAGTTTCCACCTTAGGAAACTAAAAAAAGAACAAATTAAATCAAAAGTAAGCAGAAAAAAGAAACAAGAATTAGAACAAAAAATCAGTGAAATTAAAAACAAGAAGCCAATAGAGAAAATCAAGAAAACCTAAAGCTTACTTGAAAAGATCTATAATATAGATAAGCCTCTAGTCAGGCTAACTAAGAAAAAAAGAGAGAACATAAATTACTCATACCAGAAATGAAAGAGGCTACATTACAACAGATTCCAAGGAAATTAAAACAATAATAAAATAATACTATGAACAATTTTATGCCCACAAATTTCATAACCTACATGAAATGGACCAGTTCCTTGAAAGCTACATCTGCCAAAACTTACACAAACAGAAACAGATGATCTGAATAGGCTTGCATTTACTAAGTCCACAGTTTGGCAGTTTCTTACAAAATTTAACATACTCTTGTCATAGGATCCAGTGTTTGTACTTCTCGGTATTTACCCTAAGGAGTGGAAAATGTGTATCTACACAAAAACCTGCACACAGAAGTTTTTAGCAGGTTTATTCATAACTGCCCAAACTTAGAAGCAATTAAGATGTGTTTCAGTAGGTAAATGGGTAAAAAAACTATGGTCCATCCAGACAAAGGAATAATATTCAGAACTAAAAAGAAATTAGCTATCAAACTATGAAAAGACATGGAGGAAACTTAAATGCATATTACTTAGTGAAAGAAGCCAATATAGAAATGCTACATGATATGTGATTCCAACAATATAATATTCTGTGGAAGGCAAAACTATGGCAACAGTATCAGCAGTTGCTGCGGAGTGAGGGCAATGAACAGGCAGAGCACAGAGGAGTTTTAGGGCGCTGAAAATACTTTGCATGACAGTATAATGACAGATATATGTCACTATACTTTTGTCCAAGCCCATAGAATGTACACCACCAAGAGTGAACCCTAAAGTAAACTATGGAATTTGAATGATTTTGATATATCAATATAGAATCATCCTTGACTAAAAAAAAAAAATCTGATCAATAATGATAACGGGGAGGCTATGCATGTGTAGGGACAGAAGTGTCTTAAAAAATCTATGTACTTTTCTCTCAATTTTGTCATAAATATAAAATTGATATAAAGTTTTTCTTTTTTTAGTGTGTATGAGAGAAAAGAGATTGAAAAGTTCTAATACACATCTGAGTTCCAGAAGAAAGAATAGAAGAAAAGAGAGGAGAGGCACTATCCAAAGAGAAAATGTCATACTGAAAGTTATCTCTCAGGTTGAAGAGGAGCAGTAAGTCTCATGTAGAATAATAAAAATAGATCTAACATCTGGACATAGACTGATGATATTTCAGGATATCAGAGACAAAGGGAAAATTTTTCATGAGACCAAAAAAAAATAAAAATCAAAGAGATGAGACATGTTACCTACAAAAGAATGTTGATTAGAGAAACCCAAGAGAAAAGACAGAGATGATGAAATAGTATCTTCAACATGATGAAGGGAAAATAACAGTGAAGAATGGATCAAAATAAATATTTTTCTTCAGATAAAGTCTGAGAGTTCTTTCATAAGCTGTCACTGAAAGAATTATCAAAGGACATACTCTAGCAAGAAGGAAATAGAGGAAGCAAGGAGGAAACAATGAACTATAATAAACAATGATGAGGTAGGAAGTTGGTAAACACATTGATCAGTTTAAATAAGCATTCACCTAGTAATAATAATGATTAATTTTGGGGGGTTTAAAAAACAAACAGATGGAACCAATATACTAGATTACAATTATCCAGTTTTTACAGACTTTAGAATGTAGAAGAAATGTAATTAAATTATTCTATGTTTCCTATATTACTCATGAAGAAATAGTGACTAATTTTAAGTCACAGATACATATTAATAGTTAGGAATAACTTCTTAAAATGAAGGAGTATAATATCTTATTTTTAATCCATTAAATGGGAAAGGGGACTAAAAAATTGACCAATGATGTAGAAAGTGATGAAGGAGGGACTTCACTGGCAGTCCAGTGATTAAGACTCCATGTTTCTACTACAGGGGGCATGGTTCAATCCTGGGTCCAGAAATTAAGATCATGCATGTCACGTGGCATGGCCAAAGGACATGAAAGCAATAAAGGAGAAAGAAGCAAGCACAGGCTTAGATTTTAAAAATAAATAAAGTAGTGGGGAACTGGGTCATGGAACTAAAGGGAGTTGATGATGGTTGTCGGGAGCTGAAGTCTGAGCAGTCAGGTTGAAGTGCAGGGTTCTTGCCTTTCTGAGATGTGTGTTTCTCCACTTCTCCTTTGTAATCAAAACCAACTGCTGACTACAGAGAAAAGGAGAGAGAATCAGTTAGAGTCAGAGTTAATGTTTCTCCTTCCCTCACATACCCTTAACACCTAACTCAGCCCAGGAGTTAGTTATAGGGGCTCAAAGCTGAGTATGGGAGTACAGTGTTAGAAACAAATAGTACCCAGATAGGCAGTGTGCTACAGAACAATGACCATGGGCTCTGCACACAGAGAGATCTAGATCCAAACCCCAACCTCACGTCCCTTCTTATAATTGTGTAACTTTAGGTACATCCTTTAATATTCCTGAACCTCAGGTTCTTCAAACATGAAATAAAAATAGGTATATCTGTCTTACTAACTCAACTGTAAAATGATTCCAGTATATTTGGGATATTGTGAGGACTAAATGGGAAAAATATTGAGAGTGTATGTCACTCATTAAGTTAGTGTTTTTCTTTCTAACTCTTACTAAACTGAGACAGTAGCTAGAAAAGTGCCTTGTAAGCTATAAAGCACTGTGCACATGTTAAGAGATATCCTATACTGACTGATTATACTACACCTCTTCTCTTTTCTTACACAGCAGCACAAACCCAGAGACGTGGATTTTGTTGGATAAGAGGCAGCCAGGAGAATCTGGATCCTAGCTGCTTTGGGACTGGATATCTTGGCAAATACCTAACATAGCTGTATCCCCGTATGGCTTAGTAATTATGAGTCTCTAAGCAAATCTATATATTGCATTTTAAAAGCTATTAGTATGTATTTTTTCTTTATTTGCAAGACACACTGGCTGTTAAGGTGATTCAGTTTGTGGCTGGTGAGGGAGAAGATGAAATAAAGAACAATGAAAAAGTAGGCAGAGGCAGGAGGGGGGCCAAGATGAAAGGGAAATTCCACCCTGATTAGAGAAGAACATTACAAGCTCCATATTTCCATTACTGCTTTTAAACATTATCCTCTATGGTTCTCCTTTACCTTACAGTATGTTTTTAATTTTTCTGTGTTTTATTTTTTTAACTACCTACAATTCAAATAACATTCTAACACTTAGCTTTAAGGATTCAGGCCACTTATTAACAACTGCAGGTTAAACAAAATTAAAAATCTCAGGTAGCAGTGAAGACAGCCTCTCTGTGTGCTGCTGCAGGGCAGACACACTATTTTGTACCATAAAAAATGAGCTCAAAGAAACTGATCTACTAAGGTGTGAAAATGAGAACATGAATGAGTTATCAGTCTTACTCTCCTGACCACTCTGTCATCTGTACTCATACTGTCCTTTCTTTTTCTCTCTCTTCAAAACTACTCTTTGTACAAAGAAGTCCTTAAAAGCACCTGGACTGTAGCGAGTTGGTGCTAGATGCTGTGAAAAGTAACCTTTACATTCTAAAAGTATTGTAAACTTAATTAGTTGTTTTACTTGATTATTTGCTACCATTATAATAATATTTCAGCTGATATTTCTGTTTTCCTGAAAGGCATCATAACTATTTATAAGACTTTGCTATCAGGCCAAAGGAGGAGCTCTGGAATTTCCTCTTTTCTCTTCTTGCATACAGGATTGATAAAACCAATGGATTAGGGATTCCTTATTCAGAGTTTGAGAGTCTTTGTCTCTTTTAAATGAACACCTTTTAGCTCAGGATGTGGCCTCCAACAGTGGCACCAAAGAACTTGCTGAGGTAGTTGTGTGGGAGCCATTCTCATGATGGACCCTCCTTGAGACCACTGCCCCATTTTTCCACAGGAGAAGCACAGGCCTACTTTCAAGGTATTGTTGGTAAGTCCCACATGATCTGAGTTGGATGGTGCAGGGACAGAGCGTTGTCACTTACCTTGTCTGCCCTGTCCTTCTCAACTCCATATTTGCCCCCAAAGCCTCTGGCAGCATCAGTCTGAGAAGAGTGCTTCTCCACCTCAGCAACATACTCATGGCCCACGGCACTCTGAGAAAAATCAAGATGGGAATGAGTAAGTAGATAAAAAATGACCAAAGGAAAAATAAAATGATGCAGACAGGACAGGATGTAAGAATACAAGAAATTCCATTCTGGGTCATACTGATAGCCTATGTTGATATATACTATATATATACTATACTGATAACTTGACAGTAGTGCCAAGGAACATGTAATGGGAGAGCAAGGTAACTTTTTCTGGAGTCTTGCACATTCTGATTCTTCTTTCATACCACTAGGAACTCATCCTTTAGGAAACTCGCATAAGATGGGTTGGGAACCAGAAGGATAGAGACTGCATAAACAGAGCGGTGTTTAAAGCAGAAACAAAAGAGGGTGAAACAAGGCCTTTGGGTATCAAAAGAGGAATGAGGATAGTTACCGAGGGGAGACCTAAGGGGACTGACAAGAGGCCATAGCCAGGCTGAATATTTCTCTAACACAACAAAGTGCTTTTGTTTTGGATCTTTGTTCCTGTAAGACCATCAAAGTTCTGAAGTGCCACATGAACCCTGATATTAAGTGACTGACTCTTTATACCAAATGGGGCTGGTAGACAGTACCATGAGTAGTCATGACATAAAATTTAATTTTTAAAACACCCTCTTCCACTTTTTCCTCCTACAATTTTCTACTTGGTTTTGAAAGGTATGTCCCTTTCAATGTTTTGATATGGATGCTTTAATAAATAACCTTGGAATTGAATAATACTTCAAACCAAATGGGCTTCCCTGGTGGCTCAGATGGTAAAGAATCTGCCTGCAATGCAGGAGACCCAGGTTAAATCCCTGGGTCGGGAAGATCCCCCGGAGAAGGAAATGGAAAACCACAACAGTATTCAAACCAAACAGTGATACCTTACAGAGTCTCAACTAAGAAGAAATTAGAAAGCTCCCTCTTCCTCCTACATTTCCAATTCCATGCTGGCATAAATGTAGACAGTGATATGAAACACTGCCCCATATGAGCTCCTGAGAGCTCACTTTGCAGTACTTTTGGGTCTGCGTAGGTCAACTTTGCTTGCTGAATTCAAGAATGAATGACTGCTTATCTACATTTCTTTCCCCTAGGAATTCTGTAGGAGAATACAATGTCTAGACTGCATTTTACACAATGACCAAACAAAACACTTCTTGAGGGTGGACTAAAGGGTTTCATTAAATTGTTTTTTTCTCTGTGGAGATTAAACATTTATTAATTATAGGAATATATCTCTATTTTTGAAGTTAGGAAAATCAATGGAAAAATATGATTCACCATACAAACTTTCTTGTATCATACTTTCATAGTATCTAATGGATAAAGGAAAGATAATATGATATTCAAGGGCATCTAATAGATAAATCCCCATCAATATTTTTCACACCTATGTGCAAATCATAAGTGATGTATAAAATGTGTAAAAAAAAAAAACCCCACTAAATATACAACAAACAGTAAAAGAAGTTGTAGCAAAGACATAATACACATACATTTAAGCAGTAAATTATTTTAAAACCTGTTTTCCCCTTCTGTATGTGTGTTCTGTGTCTCTTCAGTCTACGAATTACAGTGTAGCTGAGCCTACACTAGGCCAGTTCTTCTAAATTCTTGGCTCCCATTTTCTGCCATCTATATATTATGTGTTGAAATCAGGGGAAAAATGATACAAATAATATGTGGACATTCTATTTTAATATTTATTTTATTTGTCTGTACCAAGTGTTAGTCATGGTATGCAGGATCTTTAGCTGTGGCATGTGGGATCTAGTTCCCTGACTAGGGATGGAACTCGGGCCCCCTGTATTGGGAACTCGAGATCTTAACCACTAGATCACCAGGGAAGTCCCTGGACATTCAATTTTAAAACCAAATTTGAGTAAGTTTTAACCATAAAATAAACAAATTAACTAATTAATTAATTTATTTTTTAAAGCAAATACCCCCTTTCAATTCACCTTGTCCATTCGGTCTTTTTCCACTCCAAACCGACCTCCATAGCCATGAGATGCTTTGGGTCCTGACTCCATCTCTTTCTTCTTGAGAATATCATGCTCCTCTGATACTTTGTTCCTCAGCAGGTGGATGCTGGAAGCAAACACATCACAGAGACTTGTCTAACACAGAGAAGTCAATGAACCCTCCTTGCCAGAAAAATAGTAATTTTGCGGTGTGTTCTGTTCATTTTTAGCAATAGTCCCAAACAGTCCCAAATAACCTGTGCTGGGTCTGGGAGTAAGGGATTAGTGTGGCTGGCATATATAGCCTGATACGAACTCTTTATCAACCAATAGTATCCTTTAGTCTGTCATTTTGTTCACTAAATAACCTTCTGATATTTAGACTCATGTTCCTAAATGTTAGAGGCCAGTAATTGAAGAGTTATTTTCCTCTATGAATGGATTTGCTGTCTAACAATTAGGTGTTCTACCTCAAGAAGCACAAAAAGATTCATATACACTTTACCCACACATTCTAGTCCTAGAAGTCTATCCCAAGGAAATAATTTTAACTGTGGCAAAGCATAGTGTCTAACGATATTCACTGAAACATTATATTTAATAATAAGAACCAAGAAAGAATTTATGTGGAAAAAATTGGGGAATAGTTAAGTAAATTGCACATTACTTCCCCCCCCCAATTATTTTTATTTGTTGGAGGCTAATTACTTTACAATATTGTAGTGGTTTTTGCCATACATTGACATGAATCAGCCATGGATTTACATGTGTTCCCCATCCTCAACCCCCCTCCCACCTCCCTCCCCATCCCATCCCTCTGTGTCATTCCAGTGCACCAGCCCTAAGGACTTGTCTCATGCATCCAATCTGGGCTGGCGATCTGTTTCACATTTGATAATATACATGTTTTGATGCTGTTCTCTCAGATCATCCCACCCTTGCCTTCTCCCATAGAGTCCAAAAGTCTATTCTATACATCTGTGTCTCTTTTTCTGTCTTGCATATAGGGTTATCATTACAATCTTTCTAAATTCCATATACATGCATTAGTATACTGTATTGGTGTTTTACCTTTCTGGCTTACTTCACTCTGTATAATGGGCTCCAGTTTTATCCATCTCATTAGAACTGATTCAAATGTATTCTTTTTAATGGCTGAGTAATATTCCATTGTGTATATGTACCACAGATTTCTTATCCATTTGTCTGCTGATGGGCATCTAGGTTGCTTCCATGTCCTGGCTATTATAAACAGTGCTGCGATGAACATTGGACTACACGTGTCTCTTTCAGATATAAAAATGTGGAATGCTTCACAAACTTGCATGTCATCCTTGCTCAGGGGCCATGCTAATCTTCTCTGTATCGTTCCAACTTTAGTATATGTGCTGCCGAAGCGAGCACTGCACATTACTTTTTAATGGCACATGAGGAAGTTATTAAAGACACTGAGTAGGAAAAATACATCATTGAGGAATTTATCTACACATTAAGTATTTTATGTCTCTTCTTGTAAAAAATGAATGTCCTTCACACTGCCCCTAAATCTGCTTATTCCCAAGAGAACTAAAAATTAATAACCTTCATTTAGGACACCTCTATCCCTAACAGAACATAACACCGAAAGGAGGCCTTCTCCCCTTTGCTTCACTTTCATCTTTACCCTGGTGGTGCTAGTGGTAAAGAACTCGTCTATCAGTAAAGGAGACATAAGAAATGCAAGTTCGATCCCTGGGTTGGGAAGATCCCCAGGAGAAGGAAATGGCAACCCACTCCAGTATTCTTGCCTAGAGAATCCCATGGACAGAGGAACCTGGTGGGCCACAGTCCATAGGGTCACAAAGAGTCGGACATGACTGAAACGACTAAGCACAGCACAGTACAGAGAACATCTATGGGTATTTGTTTGGCCTGAGGATATAAAGTGATAGCTCAGCACCAGCACCAACTCCAGCACCAATAAGTGACAATCAGGACACACACACACACACACATATATATATATATACATATATATATACATACATATATATACTTGGACACATATAACGACCAGTGGGGATTCTTAGAAACACTTGGGCAAGAGAACCCTAAATAAAAACCTTGACTTCCTGCAGTGAGAAATGGAGGTTTGGAGAACTGAGATAGCAATTTTCCTGGAACTTTACTAGCTCAGATAAACCAGATATATTGGTTACAGTTAGAGTGGCCATTTCATATATAAAATTCTCCTCTTTCATGGAAGAATAGATCCATCTTGTGGCCTTGTAGTGTAAGGCCACCAGAAGTCTTTTTAAAAAGCCATCTTGGCTTTAGTCAAAGCTAATTTTAGAAAACTGGCTTTGAACCAGATGAAATTAAGCTAAGAGCTGGAAGAACCTTCTGTTCCCGTGCCTGCTCTAAACCCTCTGGCAGCAGTGAAGGCAGAGATCCTGTGTTGCTAGTTTGACAACATCAACACTTTAGAACTATCTGTGTCCAAAAAAGTTACTGGTGCCAAGAACAGGTAAACGACCAATATTTCCCAACCAAAGTATTCAGAGGAAGAATGAATAAAATGGGACTAGACATTACTTTCAAATGGGGAAAATATGCAAAGTTTTAATAAATCCAGTCACTGTTGCATGAATCATAACTGCATTATAGTTGAAACAAGTTTTTAAAGGGATTAGAAAATGAGATTCAGGAATATCTCCCTAATGTTTGGCAGTGAGGCTAATCAGAGAATCATGACAACAGATAATAAAATTTGAATGAAAATGTTGGGGCCAGCAAAGACCAACTTTTTACCAAATTCTTTAGACTATAGCTGAAGCTACTATAAATGTGTCATATTATTCCATTATTAAATAAACATTAAATATTTATTAAATTTTTTTAGTGTGAGGTACCGTTAGACTCTGACAATACAAAGATAATTAAGTATGAAAGTATACATAGATACATAGATACAGAGATATTACATACAAAGATAATTAAGTATGAAAACAGTGACCAGATGGAAGATATAGAGAGGAAACTAAAAGTTACATTTCAATGTCCTAATTGGCATAACTAAGAAACTTGACACATTAACACTCAGAAGCCTATTTAAAGTCTTAAAATACATTGCCTTGGAATTGATAAAACATTATAGTTTATAGTAACCAGGACCTCAAAGATGAGCTAAGAGAAGGAACAGACTTTTATTCTTTGTTATTATTATAAAAGTAAAAGCACAAAAATGAGTGACTCAGACTATAAGATTTTATTCACAAACAATGATCATAGACAAAGAAAATTCTAAAGAATCTACATCAGTTTGCTACTAGAACTATTCAGTACATTTAGCAAGGTCCCAGAAAACAAGGCTACAAGCAAAAGAAATTTTACTTCTACCTATTGGCCACAGACATTTGAGAATTTAAAGCTAAAAATAAATTCTACTTACCATCACATGAAATAACACTAAATATTTTAGTATAACTCTTAATTAAATACATGCAAGACCTGAACACTGAAAAACATTTCTGAAAAGATTAAAGAAGACCTAAGTAAATGGAAACATATCCCATATTCATGGCTTGGAAAACTTGAGATCAAGTTTTGGATCTCAAACTTGGAAAACTAAGATGCAAGTTCTCTCCAAATCTATGATCTATAGATTCAATGCATTCCCAGTCAAAACACCAACAGGTATTTTTGTAGGAATCAACTAGCTAATTCTAAAATGCGTGTGGAAATGTAAAGTTCTGGGATAATAAAAAATTATGTTTTAAAGGAGCACAAAGTTGAAGGACTACCTGATTTCATTGCTACAATAAAAGGTACAGTACAATAATGTTACAACATTCAGTGTAATATGGTATGGGTCAGAGCCGACATAAATCAATAAAATAGTTTAGAAATGGACCTTCACATATATGGTCAAAGATGCTAGGTAAGTCAATGAAGAAAGAATAGTCTTTTAATGATGTGGGAATAATGAAATCTCCAAATGGAAATAAAATGAACCTCAATCTTTGCCTCATAATGTACACAAAAACAAATTTGAAGTAAACTGTAGACTTAAATGTAAAAGCTAAAACTATAAGTCTTTTAGAAAAAGACAAAGGAAAAAATCTTCACAATTTGAGGTAAGCAAAAATTTCCTAGACACATAAAGCACTGACCATAAAAATTTTTGATAAAATTAGACATTATCAGAATTAACATATTTTGATCTTTATAAGAAGCTATTAATAGAGTGAAAAGGCAAGTTATAGTCTGGCAGAAAATATTTATAAAACATAATGTCACAAAATACTTTTATCTACAATATTTAAAGAACTCTTAAAACTCAAAAGAATACAAATAACCCACTTTAAAAGTGAGAAAAAGATTTGAATAGACACTTCAAAATGAAGATATATGAAAATAAATGAATGGCAAATGAAAAGATGTTCAATAAAATTATCCAGTAGAAAAATACAAGTTAAAATCACTACACACTTAACAAGAATGATTAAAAATACTAACAATATTAAGTGTAGACAAGGATGTTGAACAATTAAAACCCATACATTATTAGTAGGAATGAAAAAACATTTCTTTCAGAAAGCAGTTTCTTAAAAAATTAAAACAGACTTTTTATATGACTCAGGAGTTATACTACTTTTAGGTATTTCCCAAGGGAAGTAAAAGTATATGTAAAGAAAAAGATCTGGACCCAAATGTTCATGATAGCTTTACTTGACAGCTTTATTTATTTTTACCTGACCTTCAAAAGGAACAAAAGACTGATACATACAAGACCATGAATAGATCTCAAAAATATTATGCTGAGTGAAAGAAGACAGACACAAAAAATACATTATATATTATTCCATTTACATGAAATTCTAGGACAGGCAAAATTAAGCTATAGTGACAAGAAGCAGATCAGTGTTCACATCCAGCCTCATAAAGAGGTGCATGAACATAAGTGAGGAAAAGTGGTGAGACGATGGAGAGAAGGCAAGAACCCTTGAAAACCAGGCAGGTCCTGGAAATACCAGACTACTTGGAGTTGCCTGGCCTAGGACTTCTCTACACAACAGGTGAAGGATGGATAGGATCATTTGAACTATTTAGCAAATTACCAAACCACTCCTCAAACTAAATCTATTTTTACAGACCTCAAAAAGAAAGATCATGGGGGATGGTAGTGAGATTAATGAGAACCACAATCACTTCCTTTTCCTGCTTTGAGTCATCTGAGCTCTGCAGCTACTGTTCTCTTCTACTTCCCCTCCTTTCCAAGGACCTTAGTGATTCCCATCTGATCTTAAAGGTTGTTCTAGTCCACATGAGCCAGAAAGAATCCCAGAGTATTATAGTCTTACCACTGGAAGGCCCTCTAGAGATCTTTTTGATCCCAGTGGTAAGTTTGAGAATCAGAGAGGGAAGTGGCCTGTCCAAGATCACCTGGCTAGGAACGAGCAGAGACTGGGCTTTTACACCTCAATAGCCTGGATAAATGGGAGAGGAGTGGGTTTTTGGGTAAATGTCCCCACCATTTATTTTATCAGATATAGATCCAGTTAGGCTAATAAGGAAACACCCAGGGTCACCACATTTTACAAGTCCAGGGGTCACCAGTCAGAGTAATAAATATACTGGATTGTGTAACACAGTAGTCCAAATAAATGCCACTTAAGAATAAGGAAGATTGTCATCTGTTTACATGTTTATTTTAGGCTTTTAGGAAGAAAATCTGATTCAACCAATCTATACTAACAGGAAATGGAGATAACATTCTTGAGAGGCCAAGAGGTGCTAAGTACTGCACTAGACATTGCTACATGCTAATTCATTGAATTCTAACCATGTATCTGCAGGGTAGCTAGTCACATCCTCATTGGATAAATAAATAAGCTGAGTTTCAGAGAAGTTATATGCCTAACTCACATTGCCATTAATGGTAGAGCTGTAAATTGAATCTAAATCTGTCTGATATCCAAGCTCAAGCTCTTTCCATAAGATTGTGGCACGGGTTTAGGGGTCCTCTTTAAAACATTCTACTTCTGCTCTGCATGTGAGGGGCATTGGTAAGGGAAGGGTACAGGAGAGTTTGTATGCTTATCTTAATAGCTCTCAGGATACGAGGGCTGAGTGGCCTTTTCTCAGAAAAGGAAAGACATCTTAACTTGGGCAGGATTTGATGAGCCTATAGAAGAGCACCAGAGAAGCTTCCTGCATGACCCAATTCCATTTTTTCACTTTCCAACTGCTTCCAGAATTGCCTAGTTTCCTTAAATATGATATCCATACATTTACCTGAAATAAATCATTTATGTCCAATTAAACAACAATGCATAGTGTTAAATATTATCAAATTATATAAACAAGTGCCAAATTTTCATAGCATGCGGCTTGTGCAGTGTGACCATCTGCTGACACTTTTAAAAATCTAGAAGAAAACGAGGTAAGAACACTATTGTTTATGAGGAAGGGGCATTAAAGTGGAGCTTAAAATGATTAATTTTGCCAACTTATTTACTTTTAAATTTTGCTCTTATTATACTATTTATTGTGTCTATTGGACGTTTTGACACTATCCAAGGCAAACAGCCCTAGTTAGAAAAGCCTGAATAATCCATGGAAATGAGAGAATCTCACAATCCTAATACACATTATACCCCACAGAAATCCCTGGATTTGTGTGTAACTTCCTTCTCTCTTGTGGTATCAGAGTTTGTTGTTTGTTTTGCTTTTTTTTCTGGTAAAATATTGGTCTATGATCTTTAAGATTACTAACATAGTTTTAATCAACAGGTTTTCCAAATGTCATATTTCTTCATGTTACCATTCATCACTTCCTGCTTCTGTCAAATAGTCAAATATAAATTTTTATTTTAAAAGTCATTTATACCAGGTGTGGGACCTGATATTATCCTCTTATTTATATTAATAATATTTATTCTGAGTTCTTTCCCTTGACATTTTATTGAATCCTTCTTGGCCCATTTGAAGTCACCCTACAATGCAGACACATATTATATATATGTGAGTAGACAGACAATAAATTAGTGAAGTCAGCACTTCCCTCTCTGGATTCCTCATGTCTAACTGAAAGAAGAGAAACTGTTAAGATTATAAACCCACTTGGGGAAATATCAGAGAAGCTGGAAATAAAAAACAGATAGTAGTGTCGGGGGCATAAGAGGAGAGACATGAAACAAATACAGAATGATAGAGGGACACACAGAGAGAGAAAGAAGAAAAAACAAAAACACAGAGACAGGAATTTCTCTCTCTCCTTCTCCTGAGTCTCCAAGTTTTCCCTGGACTATTCCCATACCTCTTTCCCTCCTCCGAGTCCTTTTGGCACCTACTTGATATGCTCTGTGCGTCCAGAGCCCTCGATGGTCTTGGCTCCCCACCGTTGTTCCTTCTCGGAGATATCATTCTACAGAAGACAGCACTTAGCAATAAGTGATGGCAAGAGATGTGCTAAACTGAGAGGCCACACAGCTGACACACATGCCCCCCACGTGCCCTGTATCAGCTGCTTCCTTCAGTTTGGGACTTTACTCGGACCCCTCTCCACACCTATCCCACCCAGACCCCCATGGTAACATGGAGCTGGTGAGCTCTGAAACCTCCCTTTCTATTCTGCATCCCTCAAACTTTCTCATTTAGGTCTCCTACAACTCCTGAATCCCTCCAAGTTATACATATCCAGCTCAAATCCTGGCTCACAGGCCAAATGAGACCCAGTTAATCTTCTTCCTTAGCACTGCCTTCCAAATCCTGTCAGTCACAACATCACTCATCTGCACCTTCCAGTCTCAACGCAGGCTATCATGCAGGCCCCACTCATTGCGGACAACTGTCCTGCCAGACAGTCCCATCTAGGGCTAGCCCAGTCCTAGACTTCTTCTAGTCCCCCTCAAAGTATACAGAGTAGCCCACATGCCTGCCCTCTGTCACTTATTGTCCAAGTAAAGCTATTTCCACACTCACCACAAAGTCAGGGTCTGTGTCCCAGTCATCACCCTGGGTCTCCACGGAAACAGATACATCATGTCCTACTACAGACTTCCACATCTGAGGGTGAACAAAAATGGGAATGATTAGATGAAAAAAAATCAAGAGGTGGGAAAACAAGAATGCTGAAACCAGTGATTAGTAGCCCAATGTTTATTTAGTCTGGAGAGAAGTCATGGGTGTAGGTAACACTAAATAACTTGGGTGTCAAAACTGCTGAAATCCCCTGCTTGTGTCAAGAGGCCAGCCCAGAGAGTGGCTTAATTTATCAATGAGGGATATAGAACATGCCTGGAATGACAGTGTCATTTCACTCAGGTATCTACATATGACTTCTTTCATAGGTGTCATGGTATATATTAGCCCAGCTCTTGATAAAGTGAACATCTACACTCCTCTCTACAATCTGCTAAACTCCACTCTAAGACTGGCCACTGTACAAGTTGCATGTCAATAGGGGCTCTCAGCTGAAATTTCTTCACTGAATAATGCATGGGGAGGTATTATTTGCTGAGACTAATTCATTCATTATTCAAGTTTTAAAAACGGTTTAATCATATTTTGGTCTTCCCAGGTGGCTCAGTGGTAAAGAATCTGCCTGCCAAGCAGGAAACGTAGGTTTGATCCTTGAGTCAGGAAGATCCTCTGGAGAAGGGAATGGCAACCTACTCTAGCACCTTTGCCTGGGAAATCTCATGGACATAGGAGCCTGGTGGGCTACTGTCTATGGGATTGCAAAGAGTCGGACATGACTTAGCAACTCAACAACAAGAACAACAATATATTATTTTTTAAGGACAGTAATTGGTTCAAAAAAGAGCATATAAAATCCCTTGTTCTGAACATTAAGAATCATTAGACTTTTATTATACTAAATAGGTGTGTTTAAGAAATATTTGGAGAACACTAATTTGAGGGGGTGCCAAATTATCATTTCACTAGGGAATCCCCAGTGTCTCTGTTGGCCTGCCAGTCCTGCATGAGGAGTTAAACAGGTGCTCTGCATCTGTGGGGTCCTGGGTCTTGGTGTGAAGGGGAAACAACAGACAATGCTCATCTGCTCTAGTCTATGACTCGAGCTTGGTACCACTTGCTAGCTGGAAACTCCTGCCCACCCTTCCATGCTCAGAATACTTCCCCACACCCTTTACTGTCTCTTAAAGGAGCCCCTCTTACAATCACTCCTAGGACCTTCCAGTCTCTCCAGCCAAGCACTCAGACTCTCCAATTTTCCTTTTCACTTGAAAACTCCATTCTTCTCCAACTCTTGAAAACCCCCTGGGAAACCAGCCAAAGGTAAATCTGGGGGTAGACTGGTTAACGAGATGCAAAGAGGGCACTGGGGAAGTATGAACCGAGTCAGCTGGGCTGTGGCACGAGTCACTGCCAGGAGCAGTTCTGTCTTCCCCTGAGGGGGTGACAATACTGGATGGGGGGGAGGTGGATAAGACCTATGGTCCTGGCTCTGGGGCTGCTCTGCCATCAAAAGGAATTCACACAGAAAACTGGAAAAGAGAAGTTTCTGAAATATTCATGAGCAATAAGGAAGCAGTGAGGACCGATGGTCCTGTCCTCTTTCTTGCTGCTCCTCTCAGGCCCCAGCCTAACTCTCCCATAAGCCTCTCATCCTCATGTATTTTTGAGACAGAAGGGTTTCTGACACAGAGCCAACTTAGCATCCTTGAGCTACTGGCTGGGAATAGGGAAGCCAAAGGTGCTAGCTCGAGGTAGGAGACCAGAGAGTAACTGGCTGAGGCCTGGTACCATGGATATCAGGCATGATCGAGGATCTACTTATGAGGCTGCCTCAGTAAAGTACAGGGACTGGGTGTCAGATTACCCAGCTCTGTTCCTAAGCTCCTGTGGGAAAATGGGTTAAGGAGTCAAGATAAAAGTATGTACACATTTGCCAGGTACCAGGCATTTATCAATACTTTGGTAAAGTATTGAACATCTCTGAAACTCTGTTTTTCCCAATGGAAAACAAAGAGGTTAACCTCACTACTCCATCAAGTCCCCTGTATTTCTGACTTTCTGGGATTCTGTGATCCTACAAACAGAGAAACCAGCCCTAGTCGAAGCACCATGACTTAATTTGGCACTTGGTTGTCAGCACTGGTGTACATTAGCAACTACTTCCTGATCTGTTGCAATGTCTCCTGTGGGTTTTGTCTCTCTGTTAGACCCATAAGCTCTCCAAGGGCAGAGACTGTCTTCACCTCCAATAATCCTTCTCCCAACTCAGTGCTTAGGAGCAAAGGGCCTTAGAGAGAATTGCAGGTAATCAGCATAAACCAGGAGGCCTGGATGGCGGCTGAATCCCATTCCCTGGGCTCCAGCGTTTTCCTTCTGTTTCCCCTCACATGCTCATTATCTACAACTACTAACCACCAGGCCGGCCTGCTGGCCATAAAAGTTTAAAAGCCTACTAGCAATGACTTCACCTCTCAGCAAGGAGTAACAGCCAGGTAGGGTCCTCTCATTTCAACTCTTGTCCTGTGCTCCCCAGTTTTCCCACTGCCCAGAGTACCCACCTTCAACTCTGCGTTTGCTCTCTCAGCTCCTCACGAAGACACTCGACTCCTTTCTAGCTGCTGCCACTTCAGAGCAAGAAACTCTGAGCTGCTATTTCAGTTCCGTATTCAGGTTTTCTGTCATTTCCTGCCACTCTGTCCTCACAACTGCTTCCTGAAGTTTGAGTCAGTTCCTTCTGCTTAGGTATTTAAATAAAAAAGGATTAAATGCTCTGTGCTTACTCTTTTGCAAGACTTTGAGGGTTCCGGAGATCCTTAAAAAATGCTGCTCTCTCAGAATTTATAGTCTGGTCAGGGAAGCAAAATATTTAACTAGAAAACACATAGAAGAATGCTGTAGAATAGCATTTGTACCCTAAACAGATGGGCAGTTGCATCTGTTTATAACAAAGAAATTTAGAGAATTTGGTATGGACTGAAGGGATAAGAAAGGATTAATGGAAAAAAATGATTTTTATGTGGATTTTGAAACATAAGATTTAAAAAGTAACTCACTACCTTACCCACACTACTTAAAATTGGGGTTTTACATATAATAGATGTGGGAGTTAACTTATAGGGGAAAGGTAAGACATAGACACAGAGGGAGGAAGGTTCAGATATTCTTTAGGGGGAGGTGAGGAGTCAGAGCTAATTCAGAAAGATTTAGTCCCAGGTAATAAGTCAAAGCTATGGTTTTTCCAGCAGTCATGCATGGATGTGAGACTTGGATCATAAAGAAGGCTGAGCACCAAAGAATTGATGCCTTCAAATTGTGGTCCTGGAGAAGACTCTTGAGAGTCCCTTGGACTGCAAGTAGATCAAACCAGTCAGTCCTAAAGGAAATCAACCCTGAATATTCATTGGAAGGACTGATGCTGAAGCTGAAGCTCCAATACTCTGGCCACCTGATGCAAACAGCCGACTCATTGAAAAAGACCCGGATGCTGGGAAAGATTGAAGGCAAAAGAAGGAGGTGGAAGAGGATGAGGTGGTTAGATAGCATCACAGACTCAATGGACATGAATTTGAGCAAACTCTGGGAGATAGTGAAGGACAGGGAAGCCTGGCATACTGCAGTTCATGGAGTCACAAAGAGTTGGACACAACTTAGTGTCTGAACTACAAGAAGTAGGAAGAAATCTCATTAGAACTGATTCAAATGTATTCTTTTTAATGGCTGAATAATATTCCATTGTATATGAGTTCTCTCAGTTCTAATGAGATGGATAAAACTGGAGCCCATTATACAGAGTGAAGTAAGCCAGAAAGATAAACACCAATACAGTATACTAATGCATATATATGGAATTTAAAAAGATGGTAATGATAACCCTATGTGCAAGACAGAAAAAGAGACACAGATGTATAGAACAGACTTTTGGACTCTGTGGGAGAAGGCGAGGGTGGGATGATCTGAGAGAATAGCATTGAAACATGTATATTATCAAGTGTGAAACAGATCGCCAGCCCAGGTTGGATGTATGAGACAAGTGCTCAGGGCTGGTGCACTGGGAAGACCCAAAGGGATGGGATGAGGAAGGAGGTGGTGGGGGGGATCAGGATGGGGAACACATGTAAATCCATGGCTGATTCATGTCAATGTATGGCAAAAACCACTACAATATTGTAATTAGCCTCGAACTAATAAAAATAAAAATAAATGAAAAAAAAAGAGAGAAGTAGGAAGAAATCTGAAAGAACCAAGTGATACAAGATGATGGAAGGTCCTTGTGGCTTTCTATATTACTGTTCCACAAGATTTGCTGCCCCTCCCTTCCCTCTTGAAGACAGACTTGCTCTGGTTGACTGTTCTGACCAGCAAAATATAAGAAGTAAAACACATCACTTTCTAGTGGAGACTTCAAGACTAGCAGGAACTTTGCTAGGCTCCTTGACATTAAGCCACAGGTGAGCCCTAAGGGAACTCAGGATGGAGACAAATGAACTGCCCCCTGCCAAGTCCTTAGCCACTGCACCCACCTCATAGGCACACCTGAGGGGACTCAGCAAGGGAAAGAACAGGACACTAGCCCTAGATAGCTAAGATGCATAACAATGAGCCCAGACTCTTAAATCTTCTCATGCATAGAAAATTCATTAACTTGGGATATCTGGTTTTCTTTCTTGTTGTTCAGTCACTCAGTTATGTCCTACTCTTTGCAACCCCATGGACTGTAGCACGCCAGGCTTCCCTATCCTTCACCATCTCCCAGAGCTCACCCAAGCTCATGTCCTTTGAATCCGTGATGCCATCCAACCATTTTGTCCTGTCGTCCCCTTCTCCTCCCACCTTAAATCTTTCCTAGAATCAGGGTCTTTTCCAGTGAGTCATTTCTTCACATCAGGTGGCCTAAGTATTGGAGCTTCAGGTTCAGCATCAGTCTTTCTAATGAATATTCAGGACTGATTTCCTTTAGGACTGACTGGTTTGATCTCCTTGCAGTCCAAGGGACTCTCAAGTCTTCTCCAACACCACAGCTCAAAAGCATCAGTTCTTTGGTGTTCAGCCTTCTTTATGGTTCAACTCTCACATCCATACATGAC